TGATGGAGGGACCAACCACAGTTTACTGCGTCAGCCACTACTGACAGATGCTTAAGTTCATTTAAGTAATTTTGCACTATACCTTTCTATAGTAGTCAAGTTTTGGCTACCATTGTGTATTATTAAATTTAGAAGGATATCATTTAACATATAGAAAAAAGATAAAAATAGAGATACACTATAAAGGTAAGAGATAGGTGTTAGTGAACAGATGAAGACACGAAGCGCTACCTAGGACTGGGCTCTACACCTTTTGTCTTACAGTTATGAGCCCTTCACTGCAGGCTGTCTCCCAGGGCATGTGGCAAGCACGCTGGGCCAGGAAGCCAGCCTCTTTCCTCCTCACTTCCTCCAGAATGCTGAGCACAGCCCTTTGGTGGACAAACAGTCCTAGATCCATACCCTTGGTTTGTGCTCACAGATTCTCCTGAAAATAGCTGCTTAAACGCAAATGAAATTTCCTCATGCATATAGCATAATAAATTTGTGTAGTCCCAGGCCACCACTCAACCTACTTTTAATGCAGAATGTAGGTAAACTACATACTTATAATATTAGCATTTCTTATTTCTGTGAGAAAAAGAAAATGTTCTGAATTCCACATGAGGATCTGAGCGCAAGGAAAATGAAAGAGAGGACAGAGACAGAGACAGAGACAGAGAGAGTAGGAGACAGAGATACAAGGAGACAGAGACAGAGACAGAAAGAAAGAGAGGAGAGAGGGAGGGAAGAAGGTAGAGAGAGGGAGGGAAAGGAAGAGTGAGGAATGAGATAATTTTCTCTTTCTTATTCTGACAATCTGGTTATATGTGGAAATCAAGCAAGTAAAATAGACAATATGATGAGTAAATATAAAAGTGCCTGAAAGAAAGCCAGAAGAACTAATTTAACTTAAAATTTTGTTTTTCTTAGAGTTCTCATTCATGTTTGAAATCAAAAAGTTTGAATTCACAGTTAAGAATATAGTAAGTAGAATTTGCAGCTAAATGAAATTTATAATTAAAAATTAATTTATATTGATTTCTTTGAATTCTTAATTTTTTCAAATGGCATATTCCAAACAAACATACTTTTTAAGTTTAAAAATGATTTATAGGGGGACAACCTGCTCAGGGCCCCCCTCCTGTCCCTCTTTCTCTCCAGGAGCTTTCTTTCCCTCAATAAATATGTTCTGCTCATTAATATTTAAAACAAACAAACAAACAAACAAAAAAACCACAAAGATTTATAAGGGCTGGCCAGATAGCTCAGCCAGCTAAAGCACCTGCTTAGGCAGAGCTCAGCGGCTAGGGTTTGATCCCCAGTAGTGCCAGCCCCGCCCCCAGGGCTTGCTGAGACTGTGATTGAGACTGTGTGTGGTGTCACACACCTATAATCCCAGCTCTTGGGAGGTGGAAAGAGAGAGAATCACTACAAGCCCAATCTATGTAGTGAGACCTTGTAGACCCTGTACTAAATACATTTAAAAAAAAAGATTTATAAATTATTTTTATTTTTCAGGAGCACTGAATTCCAAAGTTTGTTAAAAAATACGTTATACATTCCTCTGAAGAGACAATATTTGTCTTGCTAAGGTAAAAACAAATCCTTTTGAAAAGTAAATATTTTGATAAAAGACTAGGAGAAAAAAGATAGCATTTGTAGGAGACCATTTATGTCACCTGAAGATAATCAGATTTAAAAATTCTCAACAGACTATATTTTAAGATACCTTGGATGCAAACTTCAGTGCTTTCGTTTTTGAAGCACTATGGAAACATAAAGAGCTAAAAGTTACAAGTAATTTATATATGGAAACCATAAAGAGTATCAGACAGTAAATTTCTGAAATCACCTATAAAAGCCATCTAAAATTTTGCGACAAAATAAAAATCCACTCTCAAAATAGTAACTTTTCAAGACAAAAACAAAAGCTGCTTGTAGTACGACCAGTCAAAGGCAACAACGGTTAAGGTTCTAATGTGCTTCAACTTCATGTGTGATCATCTTTGTAGAGTTTCTTCTGAACACCTAAAACTGAACTTTCCTTTTACCCTCAATGCATAATGTAAATATTTCCCTCTATTACACTTAAGCTCATAATAAAAATATCCACAAAGTATATATACGGCCAGTTAAAAAGAAGCATTGTGAGAGATGAAAGGGCTAGAGATAATGTTCTTCTAATTTCTCAATCAGGAAAGAAAGGTTTGCCATAGACTGTCACAAAAGCATGACATCAGCTGCCTATGTTGTGAAACATGTGGCCACAATTTACTGCTTCTACATATGAAAAGGCAAAAAAAAAAATTTCTTTTTAATCAAGATAGGAAGTGAAATGAAGAAAAATGGAGACAATGTGAACACAGTGCCATTGATGATGGACCCATAAAGCTGGGGTCCCTGACACAGCTGGCCCTGCCTGGCTCAGGCAGTGGACTCACTCAGCTCTGCTGCTTGCACGGCTTGTCCTGCTGAACCTATAGGGTTCCTTCCCTCCTTCAGTTTTTTATACGTGTTTTTTTTTTTTCGGAACCAGGGATTGAACTCAGGCCCTTACACTTGCCAGGGAGGCGCTTATTCTACTGAGCCATCTCCCCGTCCTTCAGTTTTATGGTGTATCAAAGCAGTTGTGTTCTCCTTATTTGTCTCTAAAGATCTGAAATTGAAGTGAGACTATAGTAGTTGTGGCTTTGGTATTTTTTTTTTCAACAGATTCTTTTTCTTAAATGACATTCCAAGCTGGCTGTGGTGATGCACACCTGTAATCCCAGCATTTTGGGAGGCTGAATCAGGAAGATCACCTGGAGCTCCTAGCCAGTGTGGGCTACATACTGAGTTGAAGACTAGCATAAACTACACAGGATGACCCCGACTCAACAACCAAACTAAACGAAACCAAGCCAAAACAAAACAAACATTAAAAGAAAAACAGAAAAAAAGAAGCAAATGACATTTCATTTAGAACCTCAACATGGAAAACAAAGTAATGGATTTTTTTGTTGTTGTTTAAATGGAGTGCAGCTGAAAGTCACCATCCAGGGCTTGAAGCTGAAAAGATATGTAATAGGTTGTTAAAACTAATATTATTTTCAGATTAAAAGCAGTTGAGGGGCAGCTATGATGTTTTATTTATGTTGATATGCATAAAAATCAATTTGATGGAATCTATCATGTAAGGAATTTCTTTTTTTTTTCTTTTTGTAGAACTGGGGATTGAACTCAGGCCCTTGCGCTTGCCAGGCAAGTGCTTATTCTACTGACCCATCTCCCTGGCCCTAGGAATTTCTGATGGAAAAAATTCCAAGACTTTTAGAAGTCAAAAAGGTGAGGGGTGGCTGTGAGCGCAGCACCTGCTTACCACAGGGAGGGCCTGGTTCAGTCTCCCACGCTACAAAATAAAACACATTTAAAACAATCTCAACTTTGGAACAGATGTTGATTTTGCGGTCACTGTTCACTCCAGATGGGTTTGAGGAAAATAGTGTGTGTCTGGAATCAATAGTTGAATATATCTCTTTTTTAATAACTGACAATCAGAGCTGGGGAGATAGCTCAGCAGCGTAAGTGCCTGCCTGGCAAGCACAGGGTCCTGAGTTTGATCCCTGGTACCAAAAACCAAAGCCAAAACCAGAAAAAAAACGATAAAAAACTGACAGTCTATTTATTAAAAACTTACTTTAGGCCTCTGCAGTGGTAGCTTCCACCTTCATGCCCACCTCAACTCAGATGGAAGTAATCTGCTTAACATCTCACTGCGCAAGTCAACAAGTCCATTGTGCAGTCTCATTTGGGAAGGATCCTGTGTCTGACCATGTCCTAAAAACATCGACTGCTTCATGAACTGCTGCCATCCTTGTGACATCCTTGTGTCATCCTTGTGCAGAGGCCATGCTGATCTTCTCTGCATTGTTCCAGCTCCAGCATATGTGCTGCCGCACTGAGCACTGTATCTCTTTTTTTACACAGAAAGGTGATTGTTATTCACAGAGGGGAGCCATTAATTAATGTCACTGATTTTGTGGAGATGAAAATCAGAGCAAAAGTTGAAAATGAAGAAAATATTTTGACTTAGGAATTCAAAAATAGAATAACAAAGACTAAATATAAATAACACTGTGTTCCTGGCAAACTCATCTGTAATGGACTGCAGCTTCTCACTAAAAGAACAGTTGCAAATTCCTAAGAAATCACCTTTAGAACCCTTTAGAATCTGGCCACCGCCGGTAGAAAAGAAGTCAGACTCCTTGGGCTGGCCTCTGCCCTCTTGCCCACTACATTCCAGCCTTTCCTACCCTTCCACTCGACTCCAGAGTCACACCCCTCTCTGTCAGTCCCAGACCATGCCAGACCCTTTTTCCTCTTAGGACATCTGTCCCCACTTTCCTCTGCTTAGGCACTTACTTCACAACTGGTCTCCATACTGGGCTATTAAGAAGCTGTCTTCCTCTGCCACAAATTCATCAAGTCCTAACTTCCAGTACCTCAGAATGTGAGCTTATTTGGAAAAAAAAAAAAAACAAAAACAAAAAAACGGAGGGGTTATTATAGATGCAACTAGTTAAGGTAACAACATGCTGGAGGGAGGTGGCGCCTAAGCCAAGGCAACCAATACTGCTTGCATCCTTAAAGGGGGGCTGGAATCACATACAAAGACAGATCAGCACTCTGTAAACATCAAGGCAAAAGATCTAATGGTGTATTTAGAAGCCAAGAGAAAGCCAAGCATCTGGCAAACCATCAGAAGCCAGGAGGTATGAAACACATTCTCCCCTACCACAGCTAGAGCCCACTCTGCGAATACTTTGTTTGCTGACTTTTAGCCTTCATAATATGGACAGAAATTCCTGTCATTTAAGCAACAAAGCCTGTGGCACTTTGTTCCCTCAGGTCTTGGCTGAAATCATTTCCATGGAGGAAGTGTCCGTGACTACCTCCATGGCACAATATTCTATGTCGACGCTCTTGTTCATTTCTTGCAGAGCCCCCTTCAAATCAGGACCTGTTTTATTCTCTGTTTCTTGCTCTCTCTCTCTCCCTCACTGGGCATGGGTGGCAGGACAGCAGAGGCCTTGTCTGGTTCTACTGCCTTCTCTGGGGCTCTCAGGATGGTACTCAGTGGGCTCAGTGGGAACTCGTGAATAGACCTGTATCAAAGGTGATGGAGGCAGTGCCAGGAGTTGTACATGTGAACCGTCACTCACATATAGGAAGCGAGAGCAATCAACAATTCTCTTACTCCTTTATTTTATGTTACTCTTTAGCCTTTCTGATTGGCAAATTCCCAAACTTTTTCAACTAGAATGAGGATATATTTATCATTCAAACTGCTATGAAACTGGGGAAGGACCTATTTAAGGCCTCAACATTCACTTAAAAACTTGTAAGTTATAGAACAAAATTCAAATCTACTATTGCCCAGTGAATCAAGTGGTTTGCTGAATTTAGGTTACCAATTTAAAACTTGTAACTTCAGTTCCTAAAGTTATTATAGTCCTTCTAGAGCAGTTAACAGCAAGTTATAGATACTTTCTCCATTCATTTTTAAAGTTTAAAAGCAATGTTTCATGATTTACCACCAGAGAGAAAATGAGTGTTTCATAGCTACTTAGGAAGTTATTCTAAAAAACAAAGTACAGTTTTCAAAGTTGAAAGTCTTTCTTTGGAGAAGAAAAATGATCACACACTTGTATACATGTATGTGTATACACACAGAAGTCACAATCCTGGCCATGTTTGAAAGTGTATTTTTCCTTTCCTTGATCTGAACAGGACAAAATGAATATTTATTACTACATTTGGGCAATATATTACTCAATTTACACTCATGATCATCAGTAAGTAATTGCAACAAAATGAACTTCACTTTAGAATTTCCAGTAAAATAGAAGGACTCACTGTGTGATGTAACAGGCAAACACCCCAAGAATTTCTCCACCTTGGTGCTAGTGTTCTTTGAACTTTGATGAAAACTTTTTCAACTTTTCTGCATCCTACTCCCTGAACTGGAAATTAACTTGTCTTCATTTTTATTTAGTTTAGACTTCACAATAATGTTCTTTGCAATGCAGGGCCATTATTTATGGCTTTGTATTAGTCAACAATTCTTGCAAGTGTGGAATCTACATTTACCATGATTTCACAGCCCTCTGAATTCTAGCAGCATAAAGGCAAGACTCAGTGGCCAGGACAGAAGAGGTACCAGTGACACAGCAGAGAGAACTGACTGACAGCTGATAGACTGAGGACCTCCAGATTTAATACCAGCTGTAAATGCTTTCACTGCCATATACCATCATATTACACATTCTTAACTTTAGTTTACAGTTCTAAAGGCTATGATGATAACTGGAGATGATGTCCATGCCACCACTAGGCTGCTACAGTAGAAATTAACATGTCAATAAACTAGGCTGTAAGAACTTCGTGGGGCCAGTGTTTTTCATTGATTTTGTTCACTTCTGTTCAAGTCTCACAGACTGAGAAGGCTTCCTGGGTACTCAGTATACGTTTGCTACTTGAATAATTATTTTATTAATACATTCTCATTTATTAGAAAATTAAAAGCCAATTTTAGGGATCCACTTTGTAATTTATCTTTAAATTACCTCAGTTAAGGTCTGCTTGTGGAGAAAACTATCATTGTCCTGTTGAAATAATCACTGTCCTCAATTATTTCTCCTGAAAAGAAATTAGTCCTAAAGCATCAAGGTAGATATCATAGGATGTTCCATTCCATAGGCGAAGTGTATCACGCTACCCCACGAGAATTCTGGTTTTCCTTTACAAGACTGTTCCAACAAGTTTCTATATTAGGCTAAAACGTTTGGTCAGACATCTTTGAGAGGCAAATGTTCCTTTTTCCATAGGCTTCCAAAAAGATTACGCTTGGCTTCATTGGTCCATTTTCCACAGAGATGTATGACTGTGCACATCTCATTGAACAGCAAAGCAATATTCCTTAATTGTGTATATTAATACCATTAATACCATGTGGATGTTTGGATTCATTTTTACACCTTTGATCCTCAGTGATATGTCACCAAAGGCATAAGAATGAAATCTATTCATTTTATTAGTTTGGGGGCATGAAAAGTTAGAAGCAATACCCATGTCTCAAGAAACCCCAGGAGGGTCTATGATGCCTCTCAGTTTCCTGGCTAATCAGTGAAGTAACAAATAGTAGCTTGTGGGGAAACATGTTATGAATTTAGTTTTATACATGGAATTTTTTGCATCTGAAGAATGTCTAGGAAGTAATATACCAGAACTCAAAAGTTACAGATCATCAAACATCTGTGTTCCTCTACTTACAATGAGGTTACATCTTCAGAATAAGCTGAAAATATTGTATGATGAAAATGCATTTGATGAACCTAACCTGTAGTGTATCAGAGCTTAGCAACAGGCACACCGTAGGGTACTGGCTGGTTCTCCTTCTGATTGTGTGTGTGGCTGTGAGCTCTGGCTCACTGCCACTGCCCACCACCTAGAGTTCACAGAGTATCCTACTGTGTATTGCAGGGAAAAGAGCAACACTCACAATTTTAAGTATGACTTGTACTGAATGCATATTGCTTTTGCACCACTGTATAGTGGAGAAATTCTAAGTAGAATGATCATAAGTTGGGGGCCATCTGTACTGTTATTGAAGCTTTGGGCGTGGATGAAAGCACCCAAAGAGAAAACATGGAGAATGAGAAAATAAGAGGGTTGAGGAGAGAATGCTTTGAACACCATAATTTAGGGGGCTGGCAACAGAAGAGAAGCCAGCCAAGAAATAGAATAGGACAGAAGGATGTCACATAAGCATTTCCGGGAATGAAAAGCACAATCAGCATTATTAAAGGATGCTGAAAGAGAGACTGAATAGATGACAATTGCAAATGACCCTTTAGAAAAATGACTGGTAGGAAATGCATACCAAAATCAAAAGGTGAGGTTTCAGGTGGCTTATCCTTTTCTTTAAGCTTTCTTACATTTTTTGACTGCTGCAAAAATAAGTATCAGTTATGTTCATATTAAAAATTATTAAAATGTAAAGTAAATGTTCTGATAAGGTCAGAAACACTTTATGAGAACCTGACAAAAAGAGCAAGTAATCATTAACTCACAGGGACTGAGTGCCTACGTGCTGGGTCCCATGCTAAGGGGAAACAAGAGATAAAGGCAGTGGATCTGTCTCCACTGTTTTTCAAAAGGAAGGCAGCAGGTTTGGCAAGGGAGAGATGCAGGCCTTACGGGGTGGGCACAGTGGCAGGGGACAAAGCTGCAAACTAGTCTATAGGAGATTATAACTGAACTGTATGTGTTTTGTCAAATAGTAAGGCCTCCATTCAGAAAGCTAAAGAGAACTTTCTGAGGGGCAAAGAAGAATCCTGCACTGGGCTTTAGCTGCCATTTATTTTCAGCTTAACTTTGGTAGCAGTGTAGCCACTGTAGTCCAAGGTATTAGACAGGAAGGAGGCAGGTTTCTGGGAACTGCAATACCTGAATGACAGCAGGGACCTAAGAATGGGCCAGGGTCAGAAATGCTTGTTTGTAGCATCAGCAGGTCAATAGGACATGACTAAATGTGTACTTTTGGAAAGAAAGCATCAAACATGACTGGAAAAAAAAATTGGGAAAACTTGCTTGTCAAAGACCATAATTAAGACAGCGCCTTTTCCTGAAACAAGGCCAAGTGATTGGGCTTTCATCAGACACATCTACTCTTCATGTGGTTGTAGTGAAAGAATGGGTACTGGGAAGTCAAGCCTCAGCAGCCCAGCAGTCTCGAGGCTTTCTGCATCCCACATCAGTTTCCAGGAATAACTTTAGGTGTGGTAATAGGTAATTAGGACACAGGGTGCAGTTTGTGAGCACAGCCCTGTCTGGCTCCCTTGAAAGTACACCACTGAGGCAGCTGCTTGTCACAGACCCAAGGAAGGCATCGGCTGTCCAACTACTCCTCATTATTCATTCTTGGGAACTGCGCATGGAGGCTGCCCAAGTGAGATCAGCAGCCTATGCGTGCAAGGAGCAAGCAGTTCAAAGTCACACCCTGCAGCTCTTCCTTCTACCTGGTTGGTATAGAAAAAAAAAAATGGTTAAAAACTACTGAGTTTTTAACTTGGGTCCCTGGGCAGGTGAAGCCATTCTATACCTTACAGATAGTTACTGATATATGTAATATGAGAGCAGCATTATGTAGTGGTGTTGTCGAATGAATAACAAATCGGAGGCCACAGCCACAAGGCATAGTCCTATGCATTCAGCGATTTCCTTGCCATACACGTGTACTTGGATGCTTTCTGTTTTCCAGGCCGTAGAATTCAATACTTTTGTGACAGTACTTTTGATAGCTACGGTGTCCTAAGAAGGGACTTTCTTTGGTAGGTAGAGAAGACTGGTGGTAGGCTGATTAAATCATACGTCGGGAAGAAACAGATATAACTAATGTGACCGAAATGGGGAGGTCCCAAGTGACAGGTACTAGTTAACTGTACCTGGGACATTCTTGGATTCTCTCATTTCTCTCTATTGTACAACATGGGAAACTGAGGCAAGAATTCCAGGCGAGTAAGTTACGGAGGCCAGATCTGAACTTGGTTGGAAGTTCTACAATATACAATCTCCATCAAGTCCAGCCCAGCTCAACACAGTTTTCAGTAGAAACAGCCTTTCACCTGCAGCAATGGAACTCCTAGCAAGGGGGCCCAGGAGTGCTGCTGTGTCGCAGGGGAGGCCTCCTTACCATCCTAGCTCCCAGACAGAATTCCAGGTGGTGTCAGCGCCTGTCAGACGGATCCCTCCCACTCTCAGCCGCAGATAAGCTGTCTACTAAGGTCTTGGCCCAAGTCATGCTAGTTTTCAGCTGATTGTCCCTCTCATTTCATTGCAGCGGGCATTGCACCGAAGTGAGACTTTTTTCTTTCTGAACCTACAGCGGCTGCAAACACCACCTAACCACAAAATGGCTAGGAGCCCTGGCTTCCCCTGGAGAGAAAGCGACCTTCTTGTCCACCTCCAGGTGTCCCTTTGGATGGAGAGACAGGACCCTCCCTTTCTCTCCTACCACCACTAGCTGACCACGGAACCACTGCCGGTGCCACCTCCAGTCCCCTTCAGAGAGCCGGGGAGGTGACTGAGCGCCCCTTTTTGCAAGCTACAAACTCACGCGCTGCCGCTTGTTGCTCCCGCTGCCTAGACGTGGGGAAGTGAAAATGAAATTGACTTTTCCGAGAAATGATGAAAGCGGCGCTGCCTGCCAATGAACGGCGGCGGCAAACTTCCGCACCCTACGGCCGGGCCGCTCGCGCCCCCCCTTGGCCTCCACCTCCCAGTTGCACAAGCTTGAAACAAACACCGTGGAGGAAGGGCGGAGAGAGGAGGGCGGAGGGAGGGAGCAAGGCCGGAGGAGGGCTGGGGGTGGGGGGATTTCCAGGCTCAGCGCTTCGCAGTTTCCTCTCCTTGTTTTGCTTTCGATCTGGACTGTTCTCAGGCAAGCCGGGGAGTAACTTTTAGTTTTGCTCCTGCGATTATTCTACTGACGGGCTTTCATTTCCATTTCACACACCCTAGCAACACTTATACCTTGCGGAATTGTATTGGTAGCGTTGAAAAAGCACACTGAGAGGTAACATTTTTCAAATAATAGTTGTGACTGTGCGTGTTTCTCTCGAGGGCATGTTTATGGGGACTGGAGGAGCTGTGTGTGTATGCGTGTCCTGATGCTTTGACACGATGTTTTGCAGACGGAAAATGACGGGATTCATAAATATTAATACCGATGTTTGGAGAAACAGTCGGCACGATATGGAAAATCTGAATTTAGGGGAAGCAGGTTCTGCTGCTGTTGCTACTGGCAGTGGAGCTGCTGAGGCTGCCTGGAGCAGGAGGAGGAGGAGGAGGTAGAAAGGGAGGAGGAGGAGGTTGGTGGAGGTTTAATTTCACTTTTGGATTTGCAGATGTGGAGAGGTGGCTCCACGGACGCAGATCTGCTCTGTGTGATTCTGCGCCCCAGGTGTCGTGGGTGGGGGTGCAGGTCCGCTGGAGTCGGGCCTCATTTAAAACAAGATTGTCGTGTGTCTGTGCGTTTGCAGCTGCCGTTGCCCGCGGAGCCCAAGGAGGGGAACGGGTCTCCCTCGGTGCCCGGCTCCTTTCTCCGTAAATAACCTGGCGCCTGCCGCCGCTGATTGCCCGCACCCGGCCGGGGTACCCCCCGCCGCGGGGACTGGAAACTTGCGGGGCCCGGGGCTCGGCGTCAGCCCGCCCAGCTCCGGGCGGGTCACAGGCGCCGGGTGCCAGCAGCTGAGCCGGCCGGCAGACTCCGCGCGGAGCTGGGCGCAGGGCCTGGCTGGCGCGCCCGGCTTCCTGGGGGTTGGGCCGCCGCCGCTCTGGAGGGTGCCAGGTCCTGCTTCCCGCCCGCCAGCGCCCGGCCTGGCCCAGGGGCTTTGTCACTGCACTTGTCCCGCGCGCGGGGGCCCGGGCAGCGCGTCCCGGTGGGGAGCGGAGCCCAGGGGTCATCGGCCCGGGCCGCGGCCTAGCGCCGGCCGCCTCTGGTCCCCGCG